TCTCAGAATAGCTGCTTTTTCTGTTTTTTGGTAGGTATAGCTATGTGGGCTTGTAAATTTATGCAGCTTTATCGATAATTTGGAAGCATGAATCTGTAGATGAGTTTGCTAAAATTAGTACTTCTCCTTTCCCCTATTAAAAACACATTTTGACACTCATAAATAACTGGCATATTAGCTCAGTATGCCCCTCCACCAGCTCAAATCCCCCCACCAGTGTATCTTCAAGACTCTTCTCTTCGGCAGTTTTTGTTTCCTCCTCAAGTATAACCTGCCACTCATGAATTTCTGCTTCTCCACTCTGCAACTCACTCTGACAGGTGGAATGTCACATAGCACCCTCTTAACTTCTCAAGTCTCCTCGAAACTCTCAGTCATGCCTCCTGGCTCTTTCCTGTTGACCCTGGCCACTCACTGACTGCCCTCTATGGAAAGCACCCTAACTAAGAGCACCGGCTGGAGCAGCCAGTGGCTCCTGTTCCGAGTCATAGGCTCTCTGAGCCACAGAGCAGATACCACGGCATGGATACTACAACTAAAGAGGATTTGAGACAGCAAGCCAATTAGAAATACCTATCTCTGACATCCTAGAGAATTACAATTAGAAACAACTGCTCAAACTCAACAGTTAGTACTCAAATACGAAACTGTGCCTTATCAAGAGTCTGAAACACATTGTAACAGTGGCATCTTAAAGAAATCAAAGCTTGTACCATAAGTTATTTGTTTCATACTCAGAATGTCACTCCTTAGTATCTCCATAGTTCAAAAACATTTTAGAAAGAATGAAACCAGAAGAGAGCTCTGTTAACCAATTTCTCATCCCAGGAATCACATTTGTAGCTTTCATGTAAGTAGCATTTTAGTCAGTGAAGCAGCTACCCAAACAAAGCCACATTACCTAAGTATCTATAGTAAGAACAAAGTAAAATTTCAACATGACCTTGTAATGAGTGGTCAGAAACTGCTGCCACCTGAAGTGGAACTGGTGGGCTGGAGTCCAGCTCCAAGTGCAGGTGTCTCTATTACCACGTTCACCTGTCTCGGTCACCTCTGAAGGTTTACCACGCCAGCTGGGTGGTGGGCTGACTTACCCCCATTACCCATTCCAGGCCAGAACTGGAACATACAAATTTGAGGAATTAGATTTTTTTAATTGGCCTACTTAGAGCTGGTCTTTCAGAAATATCTTTCTTCTTTTTTTTTTAAGCTTCTCTCATAATAGCAAGTAGCACGCATCATCTGTGCCCAGATTTGCATTAATTACCATAGTTTATTTTAGTGCATGCCACTCAAGGACCAGATCCTATTTTTAGTTAGCCTCAGTTGTATTCTGCTCAGCCTTTGCAGCTTCGTAGGACTTGGTACAAGAAGTCACATGCCTGTGGAAACTGTCCCTCCACATAAATCTCTTTGCACAGATATTACACTCATACGGCTTTATGCCTGTGTGAATTTTCATGTGGCCCACAAGATGGTGCTTCATTTTGAATTTCTTACCACAGACACCACAGCCATAAGGCCGCAGACCGAGGTGCATGCTCATGTGTCGATCTCTCTGACTCTTGTGAGTGAAACTCTTCCCACACTGACAAGGATATAACTTGTCGGTGGCTGAGAATCCTAAGTGGGAAGCTTCTTCTTTAATCCCTGTTACCATTTCAATATTTTCACTGTAGCCTGCTGTGAGGGCAGCCTCCTGTCTGTGCCCAATTAGATTTCCATCAGACCTCTCTCCAGAAAACTCTTCCATGGAAGAGCCATAGAAATCCACCTGCTCATCATAATTGCTTTCATCGGCTTGTTCGTCAAACTCCGCTTCCACTTTCTTCTCCCCAATGTGGAAGTCCTCCTCCACTCCTGAGGGCTGGACAGTATGCTCTGTCTGCATGGTATTGATGGACTCAGTGACCTGGTGCTCGTCGTAGGCTGCATGCACGTCCATGCCCTCGCAGGCCTGGTCCAAGCGCTCAGGCTTCACGTGAATCCAGCGTTTGTGAGCCATGATGCTGGGCTTGCTGTACATGGGCCGCGTGTAGTGGAACTCAGCACTGTCGCTGGCCCCCTCCTCCCCATCCTGGCTGGTCATTTCGGTGCTCAGTCGGTCATGCTCTGTGGATGAGTTGCTGGGCAGGTATTCATGTTCGGTGAGCTGAGACGACAGCTCGTCTTTGGTGCTCTCCTCTTCGTTCTCGCCATCCCTCAGTTCTTGGGTTTTGGGGAAATCAGTATGGCCCCCAGAGCCCAGCTCAAAGCTCTCCACCAGGCCGTTGTAACTACTGCTGCTGGGAGACTGGTGGTCACTGCCATGATTTAGCTTCTGACAAAGGACTGTAGGGTTTCCTTCTAAAACCTCAGTGCATTTGTCTACCACATGCCACATCTGGAGGAAGCTTGCTGCTGTTAAATAACTGACTATTTCTGGAGCAGGCATTACGAGACGTCCTGTGTAACTGGATAAGAGAATGTTCTCAAACACTCTCGGGTTCATCACATCAGGTAAAACAATTCTCCTGCTGTTTTTCAGGAGAACCTGGTCACAAAAGTAGGGTGAACTGGCAGCAAGAACAGCTTTGTGTGCCCGGAAAATGTGGCCTTGGACAACAATGGAGACGTCACATAATTGACCTTGCTGGCGTTGCTGGTTCAGTTTCTGCAGAATAGTGCTGGAAAAATCAGGAAATTCTACTCGAAAAGAGTTTGTTCCAGGCTCCATTTCATCACAAATCTTCTTCAGTGCTACAAGAGAAAGAAAAATTAGTACTAATTCCAGCCCAACAAAGAAACTCACTCTATCCCCTTTTCCACCACTAGAAAAGCTAAGGTGGAGTTCCAGAGTTCTCTACAGTCACCCTGCCTGGAGAGGAGTCGAATATGCCCCAGAGCGAGCTTGCAAGTGTGCATGTGCCAGAAGCAAGAACCACCCCAACACTCATGATTTTTGCCTGTGTCTGTGAGAATAAATCTACAGTGATTAGATCTGTAAGCTATATAAATCCCGTAAGCAAAAACAAGTAAATATGTCTAGTCAGAACAAACTTGATACCTCAGGTTTAACTCACATTTGTCAAGTTGTGGGGAAGAAATGAGAACAGGATTGTAGGAAAAAGAAAAAAGCATATGCAAAGGACCCGAGGCAGGAATGAATGCAGCAACTGCAAGGAATCAAAAAGCGATGACTAGGGACCAGCAGTTGGCATAATGACTGTTGTTGGACTCCCATGTAGTCAACCATGGTTCGAGTCCCATACCTGGTGGCTTAAACTCAGGCCAGGCGCATGTGCGTACGTGCCCAAGATCCCGAGAGGAAAATGGAGGAGAAGGGATTGTGGTGTGGCCATCCCCCTGGGGGATGACTTCTTACTTTCTGTCTCTCTGGCCAGTGCAAGTGCCCTATAGCAAAACTTCTGGGCGTGGGGCAGGGAGCGATGACTAGGCTAGAGTCTAGTGAGGGAGTGAGGAGCAAGGAGCCGGAGGGATGGTCCAGGACAATTGTGTCTTTGGTCTTACAGCAAAGATGGGGTATGGGGTATTCACTGAGATACTAAACAATGTGGGTTTCTCTAGCTCTGTCAGAATTTCGTTCGAGTCCCATACCTGGTGGCTTAAACTCAGGCCAGGCGCATGTGCGTACGTGCCCAAGATCCCGAGAGGAAAATGGAGGAGAAGGGATTGTGGTGTGGCCATCCCCCTGGGGGATGACTTCTTACTTTCTGTCTCTCTGGCCAGTGCAAGTGCCCTATAGCAAAACTTCTGGGCGTGGGGCAGGGAGCGATGACTAGGCTAGAGTCTAGTGAGGGAGTGAGGAGCAAGGAGCCGGAGGGATGGTCCAGGACAATTGTGTCTTTGGTCTTACAGCAAAGATGGGGTATGGGGTATTCACTGAGATACTAAACAATGTGGGTTTCTCTAGCTCTGTCAGAATTTCATCCCTTTAGGAGCTTCTAATGATAAGAAGCAAGATGCAAACTCAGGGCGAGGGATCACAAGTACAGACCAGGCCCAGACTAGTGGTGTACCTAGTAGCAAACTGAACTGTAGTGCTGGAAGTGTACATGCAGTGCTACATGGCTGGATCACAGGTTTGGATCCCAGGCTAGCCTGACAATGTGAGGTGTACACATGCCTAAAATCCTGACAAGGTGGAGGGCTGGGGAAGGGGGACTGCTGTGTGACATGTCCCCACTGAGTCTCTTTTCTTTCACCCCACCTCTTTGTTTATGCACACGCATGAGCACTCCATTAACAATAAAAGAAAAAAGAGGTATAGACTAAAAAGGATAGTAAATACTGTTCCTGTAATGGATGGATTCAGAAAATAAGGGGGTACAGCAAGGAGTACCTGTGTTACTGTAAATACATTTTTTTTCCTTTTTTTTTTTTTTGGGGAGAGATTTTCACTGTAGGGCGCGGGCCGTCCCCAGACCGAGAGAGAGAGACAAAGAGACAGAAAGCGAGAAATCACCCCCCAGAGGGGATGGTCACGCCGCAATCCCTTCTCCTCCATTCTCCTCTCGGGATCTTGGGCACGCACGCACACACGCCCGGCGTGAGTTTT